GGTGGTCCATCTGCCCGCCTTGGAGCCAATTAAGAAGGCCTGCCACACCTCCATGGCTCCCTGGCGGGCATCTCTCCTGAGCCTAGCCACGACTCTTGGTAATAGGCGGGCGCTCCCGGGCCGGTCTGGGTCCCTCGTACGCCGATAAAATTCAGCGTACGAGTTCGCCAGGAACTCGGCCGGGAGGAGGCCTGCCAGAGCCGTGGCCGCCGCGAACGACGCCGTGCAGTAGGCCCGGATCAGCCTGATGGCCAGCCGGCGCTGTTGACGATGTAACATCGCCTGTATGCGCCGACTGGCCGCGACCCTGTCGGCCCACACCGGTGCCCCGTAGAGGAGCACCGATTGCACGACGTTCGCATAGAGTCTTCTGACTCTATTTTGAGGACCACCCAAGTTCGGAAGGAGGCGACCTAACGCGGTCGCCATCCTGTTTGCTTTGGGGGTTATCTAAGCAAAATGCTGCTCAAACCCCCAAAGTCCATCCAGAGTGAAGCCCAGATACCTCATCTGGGTCCCCACCCGGACGCGGATCTCCCCGACCCAGATCTGGGTGGGGGGAAGACGCCCCAAGGCCCTGTCATAAAAAAACAGGGCCTTCGTCTTTTGCGGGGCGACCTCGAGTCCTATCGTTCGTATAGAGTATACGACCGCCCGGGTTGCGGCGTTCGCCGCGTCCCGGGCCTCTCTCTAGCTTTTCCCCCGGGCCACCACCAGGGTGTCGCATAACACAGCAGACGACAGCCCAGGGGAAGGGCCGTGCGGAGCACTCTGTCGTATGCGAGGTTCCATAATAGGGGTTTTAACACCGACCCCTGAGGAACTCCGCAACAGACTTCCCTTTGGTTTACCCGCTCCAGTTGATCTCTGTACTGGAGCGTCCTGTCACGGAAATAGTCCCAAAGGACCTCCCTTATGTATGGGGGAAGGCCGTGGAACTCCATGGCCTGCCCCACACATACTCAGGGGAGGGAGTTGAAGGCGTTGACGATGTCCAGCGACACCGCCAACGCCACATCCCCCTCCCCTACAACTTGGTCCGAGAAGGCCCGCAGATGCATAATCGCATCTGTTGTGGATTGGGCCTCCCGGAACCCAAATTGATCTTCCAATAGATTGGGACCATCCCGCGACAGGTGCTGGACGATTCGGCCGGCAATGATTCTTTCGAATAGTTCACCGACCTCGTCCAGCAAGCAAATCGGCCTGTAAGCCGAAGGTTGCTCCGCCGGTTTCCCTCCTTGCAAAGAAGCACAAGGTTTGCTATTTTCCACAAAGAGGGGAAGGTGCCCGTCCTGAGGCATGCGTTATACATTTTCCTCAGGCGGGCCCCACCACGCCAAAGGCCAAGGCCCATACACGGTCGAGAACCCCGTCCGGGCCGGGAGCTTTACCAGCAGCCCTCAGCCTTTTGGACGCCTCGGATAGCTCCCCATCTGTGATCCCTAGGTCCTCGGTCCAGTTGGTGGGGTTTCCCTTAGGGGGGATGTGAGTGTCTCTTACGGGAAAGAGACTCCCCACCACCTGGCCGAGGAACCCGGGGTCCAGCGTCTCCGAGATTGGGGGCGCCGCCGGTCTCAATCTGTTGAGAACCAGACGGTACGGACGCCCCCAAGGGTTCCGGTCGAGCTCTGCGAGCAGCTCCTCCCAGGCCTTGGCATTGGCCCTGCCGATGGCTGTCCGCAGGAAGCACCTCGTGGCCAGGTACTCCCCGCGCGCTTCGACAGTACTCTCGTCCTCTCCGCCCGCCCGTTGTCGGGCCCAGAGGAGATCGCGTCTTGCGGCGTTTGCGCTTCTTCGCAGTTCTGCGATCTCCTCATTTCACCAATACATGGCCCGACGGGGGGCGAGCTTCAATCGGGGCATGGCCATGTCCCCGATCTCGTCGGCTTTGGCCCCGGTGTCGACGAGGTCGGGAGGATCCGACCACGCCTCCACCAAGGCCGCCACCACCAATTTGTCTTGATCTAATTAGGCTAATGTCTACCTCCTAGGAGGCCCCTCGCCCCTTTGACGATGGCGGCGGGTCAGCACCTCCTGGGGAGTGGCAGTCAGGACCATCTCTATGCCGCCCAAGTCAGCACGGCCTCACTTCTGATGTTGGTGAACCGGGAACCCCACTCCTGAGCCCAGGCGTTGAAGTCCCCGGCCACCAACACGGGATGGGGGAGGCATCGGCGAATGCCCGCCCCCATTGCCCGCAGTTGTTCTCTAAACTCGGGGTGAGGCCGCTTTGGTGGGGCGTATACCCCCACCACGTATAAGGCACCCCACCGCGCTATGACAAACCCCTCCCCCCGTTCCACTAGGGTAAGGGGGGGGGAGCGCGGGGAGTACCTCCTCACAATGGCGGCAGAACCGTTTAAGGCAGAGACCCAGTTAAGATCGGATTCCGGCACTCGATACGGCTCCGCCATCACTCCTAGTCCCGCATCACGCCTGCTCAGGTCCCCCATGAATAAGTCTTGGGCCCGGCGAGCGTGATTTAGGTTGGCCTGGAGGAGTTTTGTGGACATTATTGATTCTTAGGAACCTATCCCTCTTCCAGGCCACTCGTGCCTGCTGCTTCGGCGGCAGCTGGCGTTGGATCGATGTCCATGGTCTCCGTAGGGAGATTTGATTATCCCTTTTTGGACGGCTTCGCCGCTGCCGCCTTTGCTCCCTCCTTTGTTTTAGGAGGGGGAATGGGGTGCCTGTTTGGCAGCTCCCCCCTTCTTATTTACACCCCTTAGGGGGCTTACACGCCGGCCCCCCCATGCGGTGGGAGGCCGGTCGACCCGCATCCTGGCACACGGTGCATTTAGCCTGCGCCATGCACCCGCGGGCCTCGTGTCCCTTTTCTCCGCAGCGGTAGCATATACCGCTGCGGTCAACATTTATGTTGGGGCATGTAGCCCTTACATGGCCCCTCTCCATGCATTTATAGCATTGGAGGTGGCGCGCCTCCAGGAGTTCTATATGGGCTCGGAAAAACCCGTCAATAACTATGT